CTTTAGTTTTGCTTCCTAATTTATATTTTTACTCATTTTTTTTCTGACCTACTCTCTACCACTGATAGCATTCTCAAATGCTCTCTTGCAGCTTTTCTCTATATCCAGGTCTGATTTTTCTATATTCTTTCATTTTTCCCAAACCTTCCCTTTTACCTTTTCTATCTACCCTATATTTTTTTTGTCCCCTCAGGGACATGCTATAATTTTTTTTTTTACTTTTCAACTTGAATATTTGTATTTTTTTCATCTTTCTTTTTGTTTGTATCCTTCTTGCAGTTCTCTTCCCCTTCACATTGCTTTGCCCATCTCCTCTGCCCTGTTTGCTGCCAAACTCACTTCTCACTCTTTAACTTTCCCAAACCTAAAGCACCACTGTCATCTGCTTCACGATCTGGGTCTTAGAAACTTCATTTCCTTCACTGTTAATTACTGATTCTGTGCTCATGGCCTTCCCCAGCCCCATCCCTGCCCCTCACACCATGCTGTGGCTATTCCTTTCCCTGGCTGATGTCCCTTGTCCCTTTTTCTCCTCCTTGGATGTCTCTTGGCTCACCACACCTCTGTCTCCCCAGCTGCTGCCCAGCTTCATAAATAACAAGTGATGCTCCAGTGGCCTATTTTATGAGCCATTTTCTATCAAGAATCACAGGTAGGAAGAAATCTGTCAGCTCTTGCTGTATATCCTAAAAGAATTTTTTTAAAATATTATTTTTTACCTGTTTTAGCACTGCCATCTCCCACCTTCACCCACCTGACATTCAGGTGTTCTTACGAAATGGGAAGACAGAGGGAGATGCACCCAGTTTGCATTGCTTGGATATAAGCCAGTATAAACAGTGAAATATTACTGCATGCCCTCACAATTTGGGATTCTCTGCCACTGAAAATCTCCCATGCTAAATGTCCTAAGAAGATTAAGATCAACCCTTTTAATATTGCTTTTAGCTGGGCTTATTTGTAACCCTTTCAGAATGTGGAGCACCTTAAGAGATGGCATGACAGAGCTGTTGCCATCACAAGCATTACATACCCTTTACACAGTATTTTCTCAAATATTAAGACTTTCTCCCCTGGTTTAGCATCTTTATGTTACTGATTAATGTGTATGAACTGTAGGTTTTAATATATATTTTAAAAATAGATGAGGTTTTGATATATATTTTTGAAATAGATTGCATTTATTTTGCCTCTTTGAGCATGTCCTGCCTCTTTTCCACAACTCTTCAACTTTGCCAGTTATATAGCTATATGTGTCTTCCTCCAAATCCTAAATAACTGAGATTATCACCATCTATGATAAGTTTACATGCACTTAAAAAATTAAATTTAAGTCACAGAAGACCATATGGGTCTCTTACTGAATTTCACTCAACTTCAAAAGATGAATATGCATTGAATAATGTAAAGGGCCAAATTGTGCTATTTTTTTTTTATTTTTTTTTTCAAATACGTTTTCCATCAGGGATATGGGTCTCCTGCAGACACAGGTAATAACTCCAGTGTAGCTGGGCTCTGTGCACTCTCCTTCCAGCTCCAGCAATGGGTCAGGCTGGAGGTCTCAGGCTGAATTCACAGAATCCCTGAATAGCAAAAGGGTGTTTTGAAACCTGTGGCCGTTCGTCTAGAGGAGCATTGTGAAGTTGCTTTTAAAAATCATTTTAGGCTGAAAAGAGGGATGTCAAGTCATCAATTAATCCTGACAGCTTCCTTCTGTGGTGAAAAAATAATACTGTCACACCCATTTTATAAACAGAAAAGCTAAGTCTGAGCTAATGGAGGCTCAATGCTGGTGCTGCTGCAACCAACACCCTCCCATTCCCCATTGCAAGGAGAGTCTGGAAAGTTTTGATTCAGATTACAAAAGGAAGTCACTAAATTTTTTTTCACTCAAAAATAAATCCTGGGTAAAAACCTGTAGTGTGCAGTAGCTAAACATGGGGATTGAATGTCTCCATCAGCAGTGCTCTCAGATCCAAGTGTAGGTAGGGTGCCTAGGTCTGTTTTGTGGTATTTACAGCTGGAGTCTGGTCATTCTGATGTTTTCATGTTCTTACAATGAAATTTGGGATATCTTCATACCATGCCCAGTTCCTGTCTTTCTATTACCAGGTACATACAAGATGAAGTAAAAATACCAGAGCATTTCAAATACCTGAACTCAATAACAAAGGCAGACCCTAGAATGACATTAGCTTAATTTTCCTCCAAACATAATACCTAAATTTGCAGTTTAATATCAGACTTTATTATAGAGTTTTGCCATTCTTCTTAAGGAAATGGAATCTATATAATTAATACTGTTTAATAAAGCTCAAAAATGCAACAGATGCAGCCAAAAGTGCACGTCACTTTGAGCAGATCTTTACAGAACAGACATTCCATATTGTGTTCATCTTTTTCCACGATCACTGCTATGACAATCTGGTGTGTTTAGCAGTTGTTGCTGAGTAAGGCAGACTGGATTGTATATGATTTTTTCCATGTCAGCCAAGAAACAGAGCTCTCTTCTTTTTGATGGAGTAAAGAGGTGGTCTGGTACTATTTATTGCTTTCTACCAGTAGAAATATACCTTTACTAACTTGCAAAAATGATAATGCATTGCAATCTGTAGGTGCATGTTCTAGAAGCTCTCTGTAGGTCTTAAAATAAAATGATTGTGGTGTAGAAAAGTCACAGGAACTGATAAATCAGGTAAGATGACCTCCCAAACAGAAAAGCTACAAGAGTCACAAAACGTGTCATTAAAATCTGTGAGTATCAGATAAACCCAAAATATTTTTAAAGGGGATATAGAAGGGGAATCACCTAGAGCAGAAAACCCATCAGAGAGGCTCCAGTGCAGAGGAAACGTTTCCCCTTTCAACATTCCTTCTGGGTGCCAAATTTTCCTTCTGTTCTTCTCCACCTATTAAACAAAGCTGCAACTTCCAATTCCTATCAGTTTTCCTAAATATGTGCAGCTTATGTGGCTTCCACGAGCTGTAAGGCTCCGTGTTCTCCTGCCAGCTCCTTGACAATGTGGCTCCAACAGCATCCTCCACTTTTGGCTGCCTCTGGGACCCCTGGTCTCTTCTGGAAAGGGAGAGAGGGAAAGCACATCCGTTGCTGGAAGGACTTTCTGTGACTGTGAAGCTGATAGCAGGGCTGTGAAGAGCTTGGAACAATCCCTGGCAGCATCGTGGCTCTGTCTGTCGAGGCGGCTTCTTCGGTGTGCTGGGGATGTCTCGGTCCACCTCGGAGCAGCATCAGATACAGGGTGGCCTGAGGGGGATCACCCATAAAGCACCCACAGAAGCCTTCCTAGGGGATACTAATGGGAAATATTATACTGAATATCACTGACTCCCAACATCAAAGCTTTTTGCCTTGCACGTGTCCAATAGAGATGTTCCTTCTCGGCCAAATCCAGATTCTTGCTTGTACTCCCATTTCAACTCTTCTGGGCATTTGGAGGGGACTAAAATACTGGCAAGGTGTTTCTGCATGTGTGTACCTGCCAGAAACAGGTGGCTATGTGAAGCTTGAAGATGCAAGCAAAGCAAAGATTTTACAGTAGGCAGTTCTGGGGTCTTTGCAAGTGGAAGAAGTTCTCTCCCTGAGCCAGCGCTTGTATCCACTTCGGTTGCTGGAACCCCCGTGAAAGCTCCTGGTTCACAGATGTGAAACAAATCACAAAGCTTATGCAGTTGCATTCCTCCTCATTATTGAGAGGAAAACAAATGTGGGAGATGGAGGACTTCTTACAGTAATTATTGCCTGGCTTTCTTTTAAGAAAACGCAACAAATTCTGGAAATTCCACGATTCCTGAAGATTTCCCAGCCTAGGGAAGTCACGTTAATTGTAAGATTAATTTGTTTAAATTCCCCAAACCAAAAATATTGACTGAATGAGAAATTAACACATGTAGAGCTGCAGATGTCATTTGGCTTCAGATTTCCCGAATGATATAATTATTAATCTTTCCTATAGCATTGTGAAAAACCTACAGATTCATTCTAGAAAATCAGTCTGTAAAGAAAGACACCAGGACAGCTGAGCTATAGATTTTCCCTTAATACAGGAAGGAAAACTGGAATTTTCTAAATAATAAATAAACCCAAAATATTTAAAGACATATGGTGCACATCTGGCTGAAATACGGTAATTTAAAGCAGAGTAATTAAATGCAAGATATTTCACCTTAGAGCAGGGGAATTATTTCATTTTCAATATAACTTACTGAATTGGGGAAGTTTAGGTCGTCTGTGGTATCTTTTGAACCTTTCATTCTGTGTTAGGAAAGATAGATGAGCAAATTATCCTTTATTTTCTTTTTAGACAACCAGCCTTGTGTTTCAAGGTGTTGTCATACCCATACAAACCTTTAATATTATTTTCAGCTGAAATTATAAATACAGGTTTCTTACTCTCTATTTTAACTTCCAGTTAGCTCCTTCAAAGCCTAGAGGTAGAAAATGCCTCATGTTACTTTATTCCTTTCTTCTTTACCTGAAGGACTGAATGGATCAGCAGCTTTACAGCATGGATTCAGAAAATTCCAGTTTGGGAAATCCTATCGTTTTTATCAAGTTTTTTTATTAACCTATTCATCCTCTATTCATAGAGGTTTTTTCCTTCCCTGCCCTTTTTTCTTTATTAACATGATTTTGCCTTCATTTAGGTGAGATATTACTCAGTCATTCTCGCTTTCAGAATGGGTAATTTGATAAGTAAAGGTGACTTTTGAAGACAGAAGAGAGTGATAAGAATCTGACAAAACTCAGTTTTGATCCCAAATGCTGGGTTGAAGGAAATGTTCAGCTGTGCAGCATAAGCAAAGAGGGAAATCATGCCGAGGATGTTTAGCCCCCAAAAGTATAATTTCAGAGAAATGCTGTTCTGATAAATAAAACAGGTTAGAAATGCTGTTCTGATAAATAAAACAGGTTTTTATTTATCAGACAATAACGATTCCACAAGTAAGCATAAGTGATGCTAAGTTCTGTTTGTTTTAAGGGAACATGACAAAGACCCTGAAACTTTCTTTAAA